GGAGCCCAGCAGGTCGAGGCTGCAGTGGCCAGGAGCAGCCACTGCACTCCAGTCTGGGCGACTGAGTGAGACTCCAACTCAAAAGAAAAAGAAAAAAGAAAATATAAAAATTGATCAAGACACAGAACCTTTCTCGAAATCTTTTATCACAAAACAGTAATACAAATAACAACAGCATCAGCCAAAGTAGGACAGAATAAATAAGAAAGTCATGAATTCTAAAAGTCTTTCAGAGAAGGAAAAGACTGACTTCAAATTAGGAGAAAAAAGAAAGACTTAATGAAGGTGATGGCATAAAAAAGACAGATCTTTAATGATGAGTAGGACATTGACAGATGAAGAACAGGACTTCTAGCAGAGGGAATAATATGAACAAATGCAGAAAAACAAGATGAAAATGCACTATAGCTCTTTTCTGATCTCTTGTGCATACATCCATTTAACTGCACTACTTCTAATGATTGGATACTTGTATTTTCTACAGAGGTCTAAGGAAGAACTTTGTCTTCTTTACTTTTGTACCATAGCACCTAGTACAATACCTGGTCCAGTAGAACTCAGGTCTATGTTTAATACTTGTCATTGGAACTACAACGAATCAAGAAGTGCTAGATGTCATTTCCAATTAGTATTATATTTAGTGCATGTAATCAAGCTTTCTCACTATAATTAATACAGTCATGTGCCTTGAATTTTTTTGACATTGTGATGAGCTACCAAGTGTAAAAGGAAATACAGATTTCCATCTGCTTTATCCTTTCATTACCAAAACAATGCTCTTCGACTGGAATTCACAGAGTGCTTTGGGTCTGGGTAATTGCAGATCTTCCTATAGACTGCTGGCTTGAGAACTCCTAAGAAATTCAGGGATCACACAAATCACTGGAGAATTCTACCAAGACTCCTCTAAACCAGAGAAGTCTTCATAGTTGGGCTGTCAAGAGATTCATGATACCCCTGAAGTTGTCTGATAATGGTTGTGTTCATGGGCACATGTGCATTTTTCTGGGGCAATTGAAGGGCGCAGAGAACAGTCAGAAGAGCATCCCCAAGATGGCGCTGCCACCCAAGACAACAAAGACCCTAAGCTCCAGCTTCTCCCCATACAGTTTCCCGCACACGCGAAGTTTAAACCTGTGCACGAGTAATTTCTCCCTATAGGAATACTACCTCATAGTCTCCTCCAATAAAGCCCAAACACAGCACTGGCCAGCCCCTGCCAAGCCCATAAATACAGCCCTCTCCCTGCATAGCTCTCTCTCTTGCTCTCCTCTCACCCCCGTGTCTCTCTCTCTCTCTCTCTCTCTCTCTCTCTCTCTCTCTCTCTCTCTCTCTCCCCCTCTCTCTCTCTCCCCCACCCCACAGCTACAGACCCTTTTCCTTTTTTCCCTGTAGCCGCTGCTTTAATAAATCTCTTGGTCCTTAAAGGGTGTGTTAAAGGGTGTGGAGTTGTTATTGGCACCTAAGTTCTTTCAGCAATAGTACATGTATTCAATCAGGCTCTCAAAGAGTCTATAACCCAAAGAAGTTTAAAACTAAAGCCATTAGATAGATTAAGGAATGCCTAGACCTACAGGCCTAAGAGATGTCACCATAGATCATAAGACACTTTAATAAATCCTGATATCCTAAGTAATTTTGGAAACATAAATTATCTCACTGTTTTTGCTGATGTCTCCTTGTTTTGAAATGATTTAGAATTTTTTTCTCTTTTATAATACATTTTTTGACTCCCAACTCCATAATTACATTGCAAGTTATCTGCCCTCAGACTTAAAATTTCTCGTCTAAGAAGTTACTCAGCCTTCTTAATTTGACTTGTTTATTTTGGTCTGATCCCACTGACTGCTCAGTTTCCTGGCTAGGGCATGTCCTGTTCCAGTTGGGGGTTGGAGACATGTCTCCAACAGGCATTTAACACACTGTGAGGTCCTTGAATCACCTGATGCCCAGTCACAAGCAGTGATTCAAGGCAAATGAGCTATTTGCTAGAACTAGATTTACTAGAACTGTAGACTAGCAGTGGAACACAGATCTCCTTACCTAAGCCCAGGAACAGCAGTGGCATAAAATTCAACTTTGCCTCTAGCAAAAATGTCTTTTAAAAAAAGAAAATAGGAAGCCCCTCACCCTGCACATTTACTGAAAATAAGAACCAGGGAAGGAGATTCCCAATGTCATGGGCCCCTTGCCTTACAATGAGCCTGCTTAAATACAATGCTCCCCAAAAAAACTAAGCTCCATGAGGGCAGAGTTTTTGTCTCTTTTAGTCACTCTTTTATCCCCAGAGACTGAAACAATGCTGGTGAACATAGAGTGAATCTATGTTAAATGATGGGTTGGAGAAATGAATTGATTGAATGAAAGAATCAGCTTGCTTATGAAAGTTCACGAGAATGGGAAGTCGCTTCCCTTCCGCATCCTTCAGCACTTAAATTTCATTGCTCCTTTTGGTATTACCTGCCTACCATGCTATTCTCTGTCTCATTAATCGTATATATTCTCCAAATCTACCTAAAACCTTAACTCTTCTCCGAAGCCCTCCCTCAAATCCACCTGTTCTGACTTCCCACAGCATAGGCTTCTGCCATTTATTAATCAACATGTGATGACCAACTGGTGCTTTGCAATAGTATAAACATAGAAGACGCTAAAGAAATATAAAACAAAGCCCTGAGAACTCTCCATCCAGTTCAAGAGAAACAAAAAGTCAGGAAATAATGAAGGGGTCATAGAAAATATTGACCAAGAGCCAAAAGAGATACAGAAACACAACAATGTTATAGTTAACATTAGCTCTCTCTCCCACCCTGCCTCCCACTGTTCTCCTCACCCCAGCGGTTCCAGCCACTGGGAACAGCAATATCACTCCTTTATATCGAAACCTTTGAGCTACCTGGGTTCTCTTCTTGAATTCTTAATGAGTTTTGTTTTATTATTATTGTTATCATTATTATTATTCAAAAGCTGCCTCAAGCGTGACTTTCACTTTTTTTTTTGAGTTGGGAGTCTCACTCTGTCTCCCAGACTGGAGTGCAGTGGCCGCTCCTGGCCACCGCAGCCTCGCCTGCTGGGCTCCAGCGATCCTTCTGCCTCAGCCATCCCAGTAGCCGGAATTACAGGCATGAGCTACCACGCCCAGCTAATTTTTTTGATTTATTGTAGAGATGAGGTCTCGCTGCCCAGGCAGGTCTCGAACCCGCAGGCTCAGGCAATCCACTCACCTCAGCCTCCCAAAGGCGACTTTCCCTATTAGCCTTCCCTGTCATTTTGCCCCCAACAAAATTCATCACAGTCATCCTCACACCACGAATACTTCTACTGTCACAACTCACCTGGCATGGAACTACTTGTTAACCTTTGTGTTTCTCCCCTGGATGGTGTTCCCCATTCCTAACAGAGTATCTGATAGTAAAAAAAAAAAAAAAAAAGTTGATTATACAAATGAATCGAATCATTAGAAAAAAGCGCCGAAAGACACCAAGTACTATCAAGCAAGCAAAAAAAAAAAAAAACAATCAAAACCTCAAATGGCCTTTCTTATTGAAATCCTAGCATGACACAAATTCATCATTGATTTGGTTCCTCTGCAGCATATCTCAAAAAGTCCAGGTGAAGGTCATAACCCTGGAAACCTACGGGTAGCACTTAATTGTTATTTTTGTAAAAAAAAATCCAGTGAATCCCTTGAGTTTTGGTTACATTACAGTGTTTTCTTTCCCATTTAAAATCACAAAAACCGGTCAACATTTCTGGAATGCCATTTGGCCACATTGATTGAAACTTAAAACGTACATATCCTTTAATACAGTACTTCTAGGAATAACAGAAATATTCCCATATGTGTGGAAAAAAAGTTTTATAAGAATGTTCATTGTGGCATTTTTATAACCAAATGAATTCAATGTTCATCAAAAAGAAAAGTAATGTCATATAATGTAAGCATCAAATAAATGAAATAAATCCATATGTACTAACACACAAAGTTAGTTGTCCATTACTTGTTAAGTAAAGGTAAGTTACAGAAAAATCTACTTAATAGACTTCACTTTTTAAACTGTGTGCAGAGCCCTATATTTTAGTGTTTGATGTATACGTTCATACTACATGACAAAACAGGTACATCTGGGAAATTGTTTGGAAAGAAGATGAAGGTGGGGAAGAATTTTAATTTTTTTTATTGTCTGCACTTTTTTTAAATTATACAAGGCATGTCTCCCTGAAATACCCTCTATTCAAATGGTAGACATTGGGTAATAGAATGTCTGCAGCTAATAACCCACCTAATGAAGTGTTGGGAAACGAAAGAAACCAAATGATTTCACAGACAGCTAAATTCTGATTGGTCTCTCAGTTGCTGATCTCCTGGAGCTGAATTTAAATTTCTTCTACAAACTCATAAATCATCAAAGGTAAAATTTTTCACCAGAGTTACCTGGAGAGATCAATTGGACTGTGAATATCTTTTCACCTGTACAAGTTGCCTCGTGGACACAAAGGTAACAATTGACCATGTTTCAAGTAAAACATTCATTTGTTTTAAGTATCATCTTCTCTCAAAAGGAAAAGAAAAAATACAGTGAAAGAGTAACACTATTTTGTTGTTATAGGTAGCAATTTGAAACATGAAGACTACGATTCTACTGTTTTGTCTTCTAGGATCAGCTCAGTCATTACCAGTAAGTGTGATATGCCTATTTTATACTAACCAGCCTCACTGTGTCTCTCATTGCAGATCTGTCTCTCCTCCTGCCTTCCATCAGCACTGTTCTGTTCTATGACTTATTCCCTTAGTCTCCTGTTGTTATTTCCCAATAACAGAAAATAATAAAATAATAAGGTGTTGGTGCATATTTCAATGTATTTGCATTTTTTAAAAGCATCCACTTTAACATGGTAGAAGGTCAATTATTTTGGCAGAGCAATAGGCTAGAAATTAGAAGGCAAAGGAATGCCTTAGAATATATCTACTTAAAGTAGATAATTATTTTACTTTCCAAAAAGAATTTTAAGATTTTTCTGGCAACTAGTTATTTGCTCTGAATAAAAAGGTGAACTACACTTTCTAATTGAAAAAGCTAAGTAAATTACAAAATTACAATTTAGTTCATAAATTACAAAAAGCCTACCAAATTGCATGATACCAAAGGCATATTACTGAGTGGTTAACATTTTTTACTTAGAACATTTCATCACCAAAAACGTTCATATGTAGTGGGCTTTTGAAAGAAAGGAGCATTAGAACTCCAATACTCACTCCAATTGTTTTCCATTGTTTTGTAGAGATGGGTGGTGGGCCTCTAAGTGAACTTCTCTTTACTCAAGATGCTTGACTATAGACATTAAGGAAGAAATATTATAATACATTTGCTATAAAATAGCAGGGCAAAAAAGAAACACTTCCTAGTAAAGCCTCAAGCTCACTTAGCACTTCTGTAGCCAATTCATACAATCAACAAATATTTGACAACTCTCACTATGCCCAAACAACAGTGACAAGAAGAAAAAAAATAAAAAGCACACTCCCTCATGGTGTTCACATGGATTGTAGGTAGTCATCAAATATTTTTTAAAGAAATGTTAAATTATAGATAATAATGTAATTAGCTCTGTGAAGGAAATGACCAGGGTGAGCTTTGGAACAACAGAACTAGGTATGAATAACTAACCACCCCTCTTATTTACCCTAAATAGATACATGTCCTCCTTGAAAGAAGTATTCTGTGAAAATTTAATCTTTTAAACATGGTAAAGTAAGAAGTTAATTTTTTTTAAAGCAAATGGGTTTTTTACTTCACTGAATACATTTATCAAAGGGTTCTTCAAAATAGGACTTCTCTAGCATATTTAAATTACCATATAATTTGCGAAAACTCAAGATAAAAGACCTCCCCCAGAATACAGCTCTCACCCAAGGTGGCCTAAGGTGTGGAGTGCAGACGAATGCAGATTGCAAATGGCCATATGTGAGAACAGCTGGTGGTAGAGGTAGAGAGATAGGTAGGCACAGTGGAGTGACACGGAAATGTCTGTTGGGTCATAAAAAATATTTAGCCAATGAAAAATCAGGCCACATAAACAAAGTATTTTTATTATTTCTAAATGGATCTATTAAATTATCATAAAGGCACTAAAAATGAATCCATTTGCACATGCAAACATATACAATAGCCTAGCAATCATTTCAGTAGATCAAAAGTTTGAGAATAGGTGCCAGGTAGCAAATACTATGAGTAAAAAGGGAGAAAATAAGACAAATCAAAGTCACAGGAAGTGGATACCCTAAAAGAAAACCAGAGTCTATTTTTTCAACAGAAATTTATTGAGCACCTACTGTATGCCAGGGCACTGATTTATCTACTTGGGTTGTGTCACTGAATAAACACAAGATTTCTACCCTTTAAAGTTTATATTTTAACAAGGAAACAAATGATAAGTGATGAACTGTCTAAATCAGTGGTCCTATGACTTGGTAGAATGTGATGAGCATTTTGGAGAAAAGAGAGCAGTCAGGGTCAGCCTTAATAAGAAGGCGAATTCCATATTTTTGCTATTGTGAATAATGTTGCAACAAACAGGTGTGTGCAGGTATCTTTATTTCATAGAGTGTCATAATACAATAAGAAAGGGATTGGCAGCAGTGGGAAACTACCGGAGGAGGCAGGGGCGGGATTGGCAGTAATGGGAAACTGCCAGGAAAGGCGTGGGGCAGGATTGGCAGCAGTGGGATTGGTAGTAGTGGGAAACTGCCAGGGGCAGAGGATTATACCTTATCAACAAGGGCACCTGCATAATGAACATTAGTATACCTAACCTTGAATTGTACCTCACATCTTTAAAGTTAAAAATTTAGGAAAAAAAGGAAGGTGAATTCAGGTGAAGACTTGCAGCTGTAAAAGACTAAGTCAATGTCTAGGGGAAGCTCGTTCCAGACAGAGAGAGCAGGTACTGGTGAGATCCTGAGGCAGGAAAGGGCTTTACTTGTCCTAGAAGCAGCAAAGAGCCTGGATGGCCACAGCAGAGTTAGTGAGAGGAACCGAGGTGGGACTGAAGGTCAGAGAGGTACTGAGGGCCCTGAGGCCATTAAGGGGGCTCTGGCTTTTACACTGAGTGAAATTGGCAGCCATCGCAGGCACTGAGCAGAGAAGGGACAAGATTAGATTATTGTTTCAAAGGGTCATTCTGGCTGCTGTGCTAACATGGGTTGTAGGGAATGAAGAAACTTGTTTCACAGCATGGATACTTTCATAATCCTGTTATAGTCTGAGTAATGCTCAGCTGCTCTCCCTTGATACCGATAGATCAAAGGGGCAGGAAACTGTTAGAAAGAAGTTTATTTCTGAATTCGAATCCAAGAAGCAGAGCCGGACTCGAAGTCTTTCTAAAATGGTTCTGCCCCACTTCAGGCCTTGCAGTCCACTTTTATAGTCCAGAGTTATCGGTACCTGTACATTAGCCATGTGACCAGCAGAACATTGTATAGAACTTAAGTTACAGCTGCATTTTACATTTAAATGGTGACATTTAGAGTAAAGAAAGTTTACAAGGCCCAAGACATCATGCGTCGCAAAAGTTATGCAAATCATAAGACTTACAATTACATTGATACAAAAGTTATACAAATTACAAGACCTTGGAGTACATTGATACTATATTGTTCAAACCTATGACTATTAAGAAAGGGAGTAAATAGGGCTTACATTTTTGGGCGTTGTCTGCAAGAAAATCAAGGATCCCTTGAAGTTGCTTACCGGGAGTGCTTAGACCACAAGGGGACTCTCAGTAATGTGCTCAGGATTGTGCAAGAGGGCATGAATCCTTGCCATGCCCTTGTCTAGGAGCTGTGGCAAAATGGGTGGACATTAGCAGGTCTCTGTATCAATCCTAAAGCTGAAAGGGACCTCCAAGGACAGGGAATGCCAACCTCTCCTCTTATAATGAAGGGAAACATTCCAAGTGAAGCTAACACTGCCCTAGGAGAAACTCAAGGTGACCCAAGGGCTGGTGCAGCCCCAGGGGGCCACACCTCCACGTTCCCCAGGATGCATGGGCTAAGAGCACTTGTGAGGATCCTAGCACTGGCTCTGCTGCTCACCATGTCATCTTGGGCAGGTTACTTGACTTCTCTGGGCTTCAGTTTCCTCACCTGCAAAACAAAACTATGCAAGTAGAGCGAATGGGGAGGAAGAATATTTTAACCCCTAAAATTCAAGTATTTTTAATACACTAGCCAAATACCCAGGCCAGGAAGAAAACTGAACTTGCATTGCAAGAGTAACATGGCAGGCACAAGGCAAAAGTGGGAAGCTTCCATGAAAAGGCAATAAGAACGATGACAACTTACTTCAAACATTGAGAAAAAGCAAATGTGCACAGGGCTAAGGTGCAGACTCTACATTTCATGTCCCGGCAAAAAAGAAAGACAGTTCCAGAAAATAAATGGGAGTCAGGAACCACCACCAGAACTCGCAAGTGCCCTGGCCCATCTTGCCTATCTTGTACTCACCCATCCCATCCCTCCTGTTCTGGCATTTTTTTTTCTTTCTTTTTTCTTTAATTATTTGTTTGTTTGTTGAGTTTATTTTCTGAGTTTATTTATTGAGTTTATTTATTTACTCTACTGCTCAGGCTGGAGTGCAGTGGCATGCTCATGGCCACCGCAGGCTCAACCTATTGGGCTCAGGCGATCCTTCCACTTCAACCTTCCAAGTAGCTGGAACTACAGGCATGCAACACCATGCCCAGCTAATTTTTGATTTATTATAGAGACTAGGTCTCACCAAGTTGCCCAGTCTCGAACTCCTGAGCCCAGACAATCTTCTTGCCTCTGCCTCCCAAAGTGCTGGGATGACAGGCGTGAGCCACCATGCCCGGTGCATTTTTTCACTCTACAATTTCATGTCCTGCCATGCACAAAATGTTTAATGGAATTAAAATCGCTCCAAAACACATAGAGCCTAAAGACAAACATTTTTGCATTGGGGACAATGTGTTACCTTCTGGAATGAGTGAATATAAAACCTCAAACATATTCCTGCCTTGCCAAATACTTGTTTTCACAGAAGCAGCTCAACCCTGCTTTGGGACTTCCAACAAAGCTGGCTCCAGACCAGGTAACGCTACTAAACCAACAGCAGCCAAATCAGGTATGAGTCTTACAAGAGCAAACATTTACAAACCAGCAAAGGGAAACATGTTAAGACTGGCGGGTTTAAAATCAAGATTGACAAAGAGTCTCATAACTGAACAAGAAAGAGAGGATTTTCGTTTGGGAGAGGAAAAAAATGAATCAATACACGCTTTTGAAAATTTTGATTACGGTTAGAAAATCATCCTCATTTTTTTTCCATCTGTCTAAATAATAATTTTGTTTGGTAACAAAATCTGGTAAACTTTGAAAAGCAATGACCTTGTTACAAAGTTGGATCATCTATGCTCTTGAAAGACTGTAGCACATCAAGTGTGGTATTGGCCTGAGTAGCAGGGAATAAGAGGTGGTCTATAAAAATAACTGCAGACTTTCTCATGGTTTTCTTAAGTTTCACTGTTGCTGATGGGCTGGTGTATTGCTATACAATCTGTTTTTTCAAGGCATATTTAAATACTTTTGAAAACTGCATTATCTCTTGGCTGCTGTGCTCCCTCCCACTCCAACTCTTCCTTTGCTGTAAAGGGCCCTGTTCATCTACTTCTAGACCTGAGAAGAAGTACAATCAGTTATCACTAGAGTCTAAAGTTCTCTCTTTAGGTGATGGGGGTTGTAGAACATTCAAGTTAGGAGTCATTCTCCCTCCTTGAGGTATCTGAAGCTTATGTAATTTAAGGTCTGTCTTTAAAAAAAACAAAAGAATAAAGGCCAGGTGCAGTGGCTCATGTTATAATCCCAGCACTTTGGGAGACCAAGGTGAGAGGATTGCCTGAGCCCACAGGTTCAAGACCAGCCTAGTCAACTTGGCAAGACCTCATCTCTACAATAAATCAAAAAAAGTAGCCAGGCATGGTGGTGCATGGCTGTATTTTCAGTTACTTAGAAGGTTGAGGTGGAAGGATCACCTGAGCCCAACAGGTCAAGGCTGCAGTGACCGTGAACATGCCACTGCACTCCAGCCTGGAAGACAGAATGAGACTCCAACTCAAAAAAATAATAATAATAAAAAGAATACAAAAGTACATTTGTAAAAGTAGGTACTGAAGTTGAGCATGAGATAAGAAATAAGATTAAATCACAATTTTTTAAGCTGATACATACCATAAACTTGCTAGGGTGTCTCCCAGGGTCACAAAAGGGGGCAATGCTGTGAGAGGCCCTGAAGTTTCACCTTCGTTTACCTTCTGGTAATCCCACCTCTGACAGGAATATGGATTACCTGAGACTATCCACCCTAGACAGGGCGGGAAAGACAGACAATCTCTTGTCTCATACATCAATTTCAATTTCCCACAGGTCTTCCCTTTAAGTCTAATACCATTGACACAGATGCTCACCCTGGGGTCAGATCTGCAACTGGTAAGTGCTCTTTTATATTATTTTAATACCCATTGTTAAATAAATACAACACCTAATGTTGAGTGGAGGAGAGAATGCTTGTATGGGTGTGCGTATCCACAGATATCCCCACATAAACACATCCTATAGATACGTTAAATGAAAGGAGAGAGAGAAGAGACAAAGAGAGTCAGATGCTATTTAACTCATCATAAAAAGTTATTCTTAGCTGAGAGTCTCTAAAGAAGTGGATCTAATTTTCAGATCTTTGTTTCCCCAGTTCCTCTCACCTCTTCTCCTCCTGTCACCCCTCCACCATACCTTCCACCCACACACCCACACAGATACCACTATTATCACCCCAACAAGAGAAAGCTAGAAAGGGTAGAAATATCTTGTCTTCTTATAGGATATCCATATAGCTGAACCTGTTCAGGGAAGAAAAATAAGTTCTTTTCCTGACTAAAGTGGATTTCTTTAGTGGTCAGACTTAAATGTAGTTCATGTTCCAGACTAGATATTTTATTCTGAGAACCTAATAATTTTCGTAAGGATCCTTATGAAGAAATGTATTTCTTCATTAAAAAAAAGTCATCAGAAAAATTCCAGAAACCATTGCTGTTATAGCCAAAAGGAAAAAAGAAAGACAAAATTGTCGGTGACCAGCACTGACCAAGGGTGGGTTAGGACCCGCACCGGAGAATCAGGAGACGGTGAGAAGACCACTCGGAGGCAGTTCTTCTGGGAACAGTCTGATCAGGACTGGAGCCGATTTTATTCAAACCTTTTCCAACTTATATACCATTTTCTATACCCTCCAGCAGTGTGATAATTATTTACTGGGGGCGTACAAATTCCATGATGTATATTGCGGTTTACAAATTATGCATCACAAGACCATCACGAGACTTGCAAGTTCCAAGCAGACAATGCAAACTCCATGATGCCTGACATGCTTCACAAAACTCACATCAAGGTCACAGGTGCACAATTTCAATTGTTCAAAATGTCTTCCATAGTGTTCAATAAATCATTCATATTATACTCTTTGTTCTAAACCCTGATTAATACAAAAAGACTTTTCTGAGTTAACTCTAGGTTCAATCCAAGTTCACTGACTCCAAATATTTTTAACGATTAATATTATCAACTTAACACTATACTATAATCTATAAGTTTACTTAAATGACTTAGCTGTTAGTTATACTATTATCCTATTACAATTTAACGTAATGCCTTATAACTCAGTTAAAACTTATTCTTAAACTACCAAACTTTACTATAATTCATATGAGTTTCATATGTCTAAACTATAATTTTTATATGATCTAGTGATTGGACTTTAACCCAAAACTTAAATTCTTTTTCCTAGTATATTAATACATGGCTATGTGTAAAATTTCCTATTGTTATATTAGAAGCAAAAACAGCACTGTTGGGAAAATTTTGGTATACTTAAAATTGGCCTACAGGAACAGGAACTAAAGTCATAATCTGAGAAAAGGAAACTTAAAGGCTTAAACAAAACTTAAAAGTTTTCTATGAATGCTTACTACTGTTTAAATCTTTTCGATGGAAATTGTATCATCTTAAATGTATGTTTTATCCAAACAAGTCTATTCTAAAAATCAAATAGTAGCTGTCACACTCTTGGATAATGGGCTGCACGGTTACCATGACAATGACCACAGGCTGAAGCAAACAGAGTTTCGGCATGTAACAAAACTAGAAAAACGTCCTGCCTGGCTAGAGGCAGGGCAATAAAACTATTATGATAATTTAGTTTCTAATCTTAATCCTAGGAGAAACTGCCTTTGGGAACAAGAGCTGACTAACCAGTCTACAAGGAAATAGAAGTTTAAAAATATCTAGAAAAAAGTACAACTTAGAAAGGACAAGGTCATATAAAATAATTCTTACTGTGCGACTTTCCATCAGATGTATAGAGATTTACTTATAAATTTTACTGCCATGTATGCTCACTGGTCACTAATCACATGCCAATATCATAGGTATAACTGATATCCTATGTCAGAGGCGATCTTCCAGATGGGCCTTTACAGGCCTCAGCCATGTAGCTATAGATGTTGGCTCCCAACACAAAATCCCTTAAGTAATTCTCAAAGAGAATGGGTTAAATGCCAAAGAAAAACAATACAGGAAAAGTTAGTAATGGACCTTTTGGTTGTACTAGTCCAAACACATTTCTGAATTTCATCTCTGTATCTAACTATACATGCAATAGAATACAACATATTTACTTAGCAAATCCTCCCTTTAAAAATATTTTACATTTAGTAAACACATGAGATTCCTGAAGGTTCGAACTGGAAAAATATACAATAAAATCCTCTTTGTTGCCCTACAGTTAAATCCTGCTGCAGGAATGACACCTGGTGCCCAGACCCACCCGCTGACATTAGGCGGGCTGAACGTGCAACAGCAGCTGCAACCACAGGTAAGTTCAACAACTGAACTTCTGTTTTACATTAAGAGAGCATTTTCTCTCAGGTGAAAGCCTACAAAAGAAAAAAAGTTTTTTTCAAGCTTCTTAAAAATGTGACCAGATAATTTGCATACGGGTGTTCTACTGAACATAGAACATTATTTGGCAATCTGGTTCTTGATTAAAACATATACAGAAGAACTGATCATGTTACCCCATATCCTCTCTAGAATACTTTTTCTTTTTTTTTGAGTTGGAGTCTCACTCTGTCGCCCAGGCTGGAGTGTAGTGGCACACTCACAGCCACCGCAGTCTCGACCTGCTGGGTTCAGGTGATCCTTCCACCTCAGCCTTTCAAGGTGTGTGCCACCATACGCAGCTAATTTTTTTTTTTAAGTTTTAAAGCATTTTATTAGCAAGAAGAAAGGAAAGAAAAAGGAAGATTCATGGCAGAAAGATCTGCCATGGGCAAGTTTCTCAAAAGGAAAAACTGCCTAATTTTTTTTATTTATTTTAGAGCTGAGGTCTTACCAAGTTGCCCACGCTGGTCTCGAGTCCATAGGCACAGCAATCCTCTCACCTCGGCCACCCAAAGTGCTGGGATTACAAGCTTGAGCCACTGCACTCGGCCTTAGAATATATTTTTAATAGGTAACATGAAACCAAAAAAAGTTGGGGAAAATTGGAAATTGAAGAATATAAGGGGGAAAATTGAGGGATTTTTTTTTCTAGGTTATTCTGTTTTCTGTTGAAGACTTTCTGATTAAGATCACCCCAAAGAAAAATAAAAGTGGACAAAGTTTAGCTTCAGCAAATCTGATCTTGCCCTTTTTGTGCTCATTTTCATAACCCCTTGAAAGTCCCCCAAGAACTTTCTAGTTACTTCTCACCTCCCATCACCCCACTCATTTTCAAGAAAAACTCTGGAAGTCGGTCTTACGCTAAGATATAAATGCCATACTTAAAGTGTCACCCCTTTTTGAAGTGTTTGTATTTTAACATTGAAAAAAGTCCAACTGTTTAACTTCTTGAAACTTTTTTTTTTCATTTTTAAATTTTTTATTTGAAAGATGTGAAGTACAATTCAGGGTTAGGTATACAACTGTTCGTTATGCGGGGAAACTTCTTTAACTATCTTAATAGTCTCTGAAGAAAAATACAATACCCCTGTTTTAAAAATCTTGCTTTACATTTTTTTTATAAAGATATGGGATATAATTCAGGGTTAGGTGCTCAGTCTCACTCATTATCAGAGAAATGCAAATCAAAACCACATTGAGATACCACCTAACCCCAGTCAGAATGGCCATCATTAATAAAACAAACAACAACAGATGCTGGTGAGGATGTGGAGAAAAGGGAAGGCTTCTACACTGCTAATGAGAATGCAAGTTAGTGCTACCTCTTTGGAAGACAGGGTGGCAGTTTCTGAAAGAACTAGAAATTGACCTTCCATACAATAATTCTTTTGTGGCCAGACTAAGTTGTCTGTAGACAAATTATTCTCCCCAGCATGTGACCTCAGCTCCCATCTTCCCACATAATGGTCTAAGTTTTTATAGAAGCATTTGTTATTTATTATGTAATACATGCTAATTATAAAGAATTTATAAAATTCATATAAGTAAAACAAAATAACATTCACCCAGAATTTGATCACTCAGAATCAAAAACTCATATTCTAAGATGTGTCATTCCCATCTTTTTCCTACCCATATGAGTACATGTTTAAAAGAAAATATGCTTTTGCTATATTTAATGCTCTATGACCTAACTGTTTCCACAAATACATTTTGAACAGTTTCCATGTTTTGAAATATTCACTTGCAAGGTTGTTTCTAATGACTGCTACGTATTCCATTGCATATTAAGTTATATATTATTAAAATGTGGATTCTTTTCAAACTTTTTCTTTTGTAAACAATGCTACAGTGAGCAATCCTTGTAACTAAGTCAATGACTATATCAATGACTATTTTGGGGGGAGACCAACTCTTAGGAATAGAATTTCCAAAGATACACAAAATATCTTTTGTTTTTGTTTTTTTTTTTTAGTTGGAGTCTCACTCTGTCACCCAGACTGGAGTGCAGTGGCCGCTCCCAGCCACCTCAGCCTCGACCTGGGCTCCGGCGATCCTTCCGCCTCAGCCTTCCAAGTAGCTGGAGCTACAGGTGCACGCTGCCACACCCAGCTAATTTTTTATTTTATTGTGGAGATAAGGTCTCACCAAGTTGCCCAGGCAGGTCTCGAACCCGCGGGCTCAGGCAATCCACTCACCTCAGCCTCCCAAAATGCTGGGACTACAGGCTGAGGCACCGAGCCCGGTTAAAATATCTTAATTAAAGTGACTCTCTGAAAAAGACCTGAGAAGCATGCAAATAAATTGATGCTTCTAATACATGACCCTGTGTTCCCCGTGGGCTGACTGCACCGCTTCTGTCCCCATTGTTGCTGTGCTCTAACCTTGAAGCCATACTTAGTACACCTTCATGTTCCCCAGAGTACATTCACTCCAGTCCAAGGCATTTGTGGGCCCTGAAGTTTGTTAAGTTTCAGCATAGAAGGTTTCTGCACTCTCCATCACGCAATAAAATGGGAATTCTTCAACATCTCTAGGCTGTGCTACTGTCCCCACACTTGACCTTCTCCTCAGCAGCTCCTGTCCTCCCCACTTTTCCTCTCCCCATGCAGAGTGGCTTACTTTGTCTGCACCTGCCAGTAGCTCCCAGTTGAAAGAAAGAAAGAGAGAAAAAGGGCGGGGGAAGAGAGAGAGAAAGAGAAGGAAGGAGGGAAGGAAGGAAGGAAGGAAGGAAGGAAGGAAGGAAGGAAGGAAGGAAGGAAGGAAGGAAGGAAGGAAGGGAGGGAGGGGAAAAAAAGACATGGTAAAGAGTGAACTCTAGGCCGGGCTTGGTGGCTCAGCCTGTAATCCCAGGAATGTGGGAGGCCAAGGCGAGTGGATTGCCTGAGCCGACGGGTTCGAGACCTTGTCTCTACAATAAATCAAAAAGCAGCCGAGCGTGGCAGCACGCACCCGTAGTTCCAGCTACTCGGAGGGCTGAAGCGGAAGGATCACCAGAGCCCAGCAGGTCGAGGCTGCAGTGACCGGGAGCGGCCACTGCAGGCCACTGCACTCCAGCCTGGGCAATAGAGTGAGACTCCAACTAAAAAAAAAAGAAAAAAGGAAAGAAGGAAAAAAAAAGAGTGAACTCTAGAACCACACAACTTCTGGTCAAATCTCAGTTCTCCACTTACCTCCTGTGTGATATTGACCAAGATCCTTAACCACTCTGTGGCTTACTTTGCTCAAAAGTTAAAATGGGCACTAAAATCCGGGCTCGGTGGCTCAGCCTGTAATCCCGCGCCTTTGGGAGGCTGAGGTGAGTGAATTGCCTGAGCCCGCGGGTTCGAGCCCCACCTGGGCAGCGAGACCTCATCTCTACAATAAATCAAAAAAATCAGCCAGGCGTAGTAGTGCATGCCTGTAATTCCGGTACTCGGAAGGCTGAGGCGGAAGGATCGCTGGAGCCAAGCAGGCGAGGCTGCGGTGGCCGGGAGCGGCCACTGCACTCCAGTCTGGGCGACCGAGTGAGACTCAACTCAAAAAAAAAAAAGGGCACTAAAGTAAAACCTTCCTCTAGAGCTGTTATGAAGATTAAATGAGTAAATATGCATAAAATATTAAAAACAGTGCTTACGACATAGTAAGCATGCAATGTGTTATCTATTATTATTTCAGATAATTTCTCTACTAGCAACAAAGAAAAAACATTTATTGTTATAATGGTGAACAATTTGGATTACCTTTCATCTGTGATTTTCTCTTTTTATCTCTTTGTTTCTTCCACTCCTCCATTTCTTTTTCCCCCAAATCCTAAATGTTCCTTCTTCCCAAACCACTTTTTCATTGCCACCCTGAGGGTTTGTTGAGGTTTTTTTGCTGTCATCATCCTATTTGTCAGCAGACAAGAACCTGACTGAGAGTAATGCTTTTCATAAATGTATGAACTTTTTGCCTGATGTCAATTTATAATTCCATAATTGCTGCACCAACTGTTGTGGGAAATAATAAAGTTAAGAGTTCATCTCCTAAGACTATCAGCTATTTTGACTTATTACTATTAAAAGTCCTATTTTGATTACTTTCCTGACACTGTGCATCTTCTATAGAAATAAAAATAAATCTTTAAGACCCTAGTTTTCTTTTACAAACTTTAGGCTATTCTTAAAGTAGTAGAGAACACTAGAGGATGCCAATACCTCACCCAAGTTTTTTTCAGCTATAAATGCATAACATTTAGTGAGTTACTGATGACCATTGCAGTATTTCTTACTTAGTTCTAAGAGTTGTGCCAATGCCAGGTTTAGTGAGCAATATCACCCAGAAAAATGTCCAGGCAATGAGTGCAAGACTAAACATATGTGCTTCAAGAAACCTCTGCATGTTAAAATATCCATCATGTGTCTTAATATATCTTCTGGGATGCCATATAAAAGAAAACTGTGCATTTTATCACCATCATTACTTGGAGTAATTTTCAGTCTGGAGATTTCTTGAGATCAAAATTACTTTTTGTTCATCCAGTTTACTAACTTCTACATTCTAAATGTGCTGTCTGAAACTGGTTTCTAAATCTGTCTGAGTCTAATCTTTTTACAGATTAGAATGAGTTCCAATTCTCATTCAGTTCTATAAATCTATAACAGATGATACATTAGTTACAAATATCTGTTCAATAAATATTGTATCCTTTTAAGAAAATCTCAATATTTATGTCATCTGCCAGATCTTATGTTGAATTTTTTCTGTATTTTTATCTTTTTTTCAGATGTTACCAATCTTTTTAGCACAACTTGGAGCCCAGGTAAGATTATTTTTCAATATCATTTTGATTTTAAATCACCTTGGTGTGAGATATCTAATCTCATTTCTATTCACTGCTGCAAAATTTCCACTGTATGGTCACTGTTAATCATAAGAGCCAACAGGGCACTTACTATGTACCAGACACTATTCTAAGTGCTTTACATGTATTATCTCATTTAATCTTCAGAACAGCTTTTTCTAAAAAGATTTGTATTTCCAGTTTGAAAATTACTAACTGGAAATACTTATTATTCTGTTACAGTAGTGCCATTAATAAATGGTTGCAGGCAGCCAATCCTCTAAACCAAATTATTAAGAATGAAGTAGGCCGGGCTCAGTGGCTCAGCCTGTAATCCCAGCACTTTGGGAGGTCGAGATGAATGGATTGCCTGAGCCCGCGGGTTCGAGACCCGCCTGGGAAACTTGGCGAAACCTCATCTCTACAATAAATCAAAAACTGACCTGGGCTTGGTAGCGCGCGCCTGTAATTCCAGCTACTTGAAAGGCTGAGGCGAAAGGATTGCCGGAGCCCAGCGGGTAGAGGCTGTGGTGGCCGGGAGCGGCCACTGCACTCCAGTCTGGGTGACAGAGTGAGACTCCAACTCAAAAAAAAAAAAAAAGAATGAAGTAAGTTAATAAGATTAATCTAATGATTAATGACTTGGGAGGTTCTTTTTACATCTTAAATTTGTTTTTAACTTTATGTAGTTTCCTTGAGAATGTTGCAAACACTTTCTCTCCTTTCTCCCTGTTTATCTTTGTGAAAGCAATTCTTGAAATTCCCTCTATAAAACTCCCAGAGGGCCACCATCAGATATTAGCACCAGACAGCTTTATTTCTAAAAGCTTAATCAAATATAAAGTTTGTATCAACTTTCTTTTTTTTTTTT